CGACCCGTGAATCCTTTAAAAAGGAGTACATTTAGCAGGTTTATCCGGAGAAACACAGAAAAGGGGATATTTGTTTCAACTGGCCCAGAGATATTTTTAAGAAGGGGTGTTTAAAACCAGCCCGTAAGGAATTGATAATCCCCGACTTTTATTTCTACCGAATAAAAGGGGTTCACGGTGTATTTCTACTGAGTCCTGAGATAAGGGGTAGAAAAAGAGACAAAAAGCCCGCGAAAAGTGGGGGTAAAAAATTATGGTCCTTCCTGAGATATGGGGGTGTTTTTGAAATAAGGGAACAAGCGTAGGCGTCCACCTAATATGCTGAGTGGGGGGGGGGCAGGAGCTACTGAAATGGTAAAATCTGGAAAACATAGTCAGCTCAACTATGTGTTTGTGTCACATTTGTGCCTATATATGTATATATGTGAAATTAAATGAAGATTGAAATTAAACAGAAAATAAACTGAACAAGTAAACAGGCAGTTGATAAAATAAGATCGGCGAAAATGGTGAGTATCTGGTAATATTTTCTGAACTGCTTCATATGTAATATCTATATGTAGTATAACTACTTATATGTAACTATCTCTGCATTGCAGGTATAGCTACAAGAGTGACATTTGGGCACTGGGATGCGTACTGTATGAACTGCTCACTCTAACTCGTGCGTTCGAAGCTAGCGTAGGTTACCTTCTATGTGTGTACTTGAATAAGCCAACCAAATTAGAATTTTGATAGAACATCCTCAGTAACCCCATTTTATAGCCATGTTATATAGCGGACAGCTACCAACGCAAAGCCTGTTACAGTGTAATCACGTGTGGTGGGCCAGTATATTTATACATGCTGAGGAAAAGAGCGTGCCTTTAACTTTCCTGTAGAGTTTAAACTTGTCAGGTGAAAAACTCAAGTGTTATTCTCGGGTGTTGAAATGGTTTGTATAAATTTGAATTGTGTTCGAAGCGAGAATTAATTTGTGTTTATGTGCAGACTGTGTGATTATGATTGTGTATTACTGTGTATATATATATGACTGTGTGGTTATGATTGTGTATTACTGTGTATATGACTGTGTGGTTATGATTGTGTATTACTGTGTATATATGACTGTGTGGTTATGATTGTGTATTACTGTGTATATGACTGTGTGGTTATGATTGTGTATTACGGTGTATATGACTGTGTGGTTATGTGCAGACTGTGTATAGACAGTGTGAAGACTGTTTTGTAGTCAAAAAGTTCTACAATGTATACAACATTTTGCAAAATGCGACATTGGCTTATTAGTAGCAGTTAGGGGATATGGACCTGGTAACAAAGAAGGTTAATGGCTATTGCAGTCCCATGTCCCATAAGAAATTAAAATCCATATGAGTTGGTCGATAATATTCAGTCAATATTGCATGTAATGTGAATTGTAACTATATAGAACATTTAAGTAGCCAGGCATTGTTTGAGACGCCATTGTGTGAGACAGATGTCATATATAACTATGACTAAAATGCCCCCTAGACTGTGTTTTGTCTTTATTATGAGAAGCATGCCCAAGTTTGATATGATATGCGTAACTATAACGCAATAGTTAATCCAGATAACTATTTTTCACCAAATTTCTGATCTATAGATTAACAATACTATAGGTTAGAACAGTAAAGTTAGTACAACAAGTCACAATTCAAATCAAAACCAATATAGTATATTTCATGTTAACTACAGAGGTGCTAGGTTAACCTCGGTTTTATATTACCATTTTCCAGAATCCTCTGCGGCTTGTTTCTGAGATTGTGAAGGGACGATATGAAGACATTGGCACAAATTATTCTGATGAGATGAAGAGCATGGTGTCTCGCCTTCTTTTTCCCGATCCAGGGATTCGACCTGATTCCAACGAACTGCTGAAGTGGCCACTCCTGCAGCCAACACTGCTGTACGTATGTTATTGTCGATGCTCACTCTGACATAGCAAAATGAATGTGGCAATCGTCTGAAAAAAATTAAGTATTTTATATTATTAGTATATTTTGTTGATTTGTTTAGCAATATTATAAGTGATACGCATGACATAGGTTAAATATGATAGCAAAATCTACCCCTTTGAAAATGTTGAAACTGTGTAGAAATTGTATTATTGGTATAGTAACGTAATGGTTTGATGTGCCATGTAGTGGTAACCAGTTTGAATGAGTAATGAGGGTAATTAATTCGCCATAGTTAACCCTAGTCAACTGCCATTACACAGGGATGCGAAGGCACCTCCGACAGCCCAACGGCCTTCCCACCAAAGTATCACAACAACGTTAGAGTTTGACCAGTCCTTTCATCCCGTCGTCGCTTCCAAATCATGCGAGGTGTATTGCTGGGGAGGTGGAAGACTGGCTCCCTACAAGATAGAATTGTTCAAGGAGGGCAATAGTCCTCTTCAGGTGAGGATAGCCGTACAGCAAGCTGTAGGCCCTACATAGCTGTGCGGAGACACAGCCAGTAATTTGTAGATATCATAAGGTATCAAACTGGCACCTAAGCTACACACTTTAAGGGTTCACGCCTGGAAATCATTTTCCATAGGCGGTAATACTTACGAAAAAATTCCCATAAATCAGCAGAAGTTTATTTTTGGAATAACAATGCCATCCGCTGAATCTAAGTCGCAAGTGACACCATATATGTTATTAACAAAAAAATTCTTCCATAATTTTTTTTCTAAACATCATTTTTCCAGCACTCACTCGAAAGGTTAGCACTCGTTCACATGTCTCAAAAGGACGACCGCTACGTGGCAGCACTAGTCACTTCGCACTAGTCACCTCTCGCTCCAGCGTAGCACCAGTTCCTTCGCCATAGTTCAGTTCATAGGCGTTTCGGTTCAAGGATAGAGAACATGTATCCCAATGTGAACCAATGTACAAGATAGAATTGTTCAAGGAGGGCAATAGTCCTCTTCAGGTGAGGATAGCCGTACAGCAAGCTGTAGGCCCTACATAGCTGTGCGGAGACACAGTCAGTAATTTGTAGATATCATAAAGTATCAAACTGGCAGTGGCACCTAAGCTACACACTTTCAGGAATAAAACCATGCAGTACGTCGTCGATGTTGTGTGATGGCAGCAGATGGTCTGTTGGCTGTGTAAATGTTCACGTCTTGTAGATGTTCATATGATTTCTGAAGAATTTATGATTTATAAAATTTAAGAGGTTCTTCCGAAGGAACTATTCTTGAACGTTTTATTATAACTTTTACTCATAGATGGCACTCCCTTTCAGCAAACAAAATGTAAAATTGGTAAATGCAGAGCATATCATTAACCTGTATGATACAGGCGGTTCCGGTTCCGCTTCACTACACTTCACTGGTAGATAGTGTAGTGAAGCGGAACATACCGCCTGTATCATACAGGTTAAGCATATCATATGATATACGTGTTTTTTTTTTCATTATTATTTATTTATAGAGTATTTTTCTCGCCAGGTGGCGTTAGGACCTCATCACTTTGCTGTGGTAACGGTTGAGGGAGAGTTGTACACTTGGACTGTAAGTGGCATGTGACATTGCATGTAGATCGACAAGCTTTTCATTCTAGAAGAGGTCTATTACTTCTTGTTACTATAGCTCTTGTCGTATTACATAGTTATCATACTATAGTACTAAAATAAACAGTGCATCATTACCATGTTTGCACAGCTAGGCATGTACAATATCTTGCTGTGTGTGCATGACAAATGAATGGACAAACGAATAACTCGGACCAAGATTGCCGTATAGGTTATATTTGCCAATTATGATGGTTCTCATATGTAACCCAAGAGGTGAATGGTTGTCAAATAGTTACAGTCCTATGTCCTAGTGGATATTCTTACTTGTTTGCCATGAACCTTTGTCAGGAAAATTCATCATACCTTTTTCATCATTCATCATTATACATTCATCATTTTCTGGCAGCATCCTAGTATACTATAGTCTGTTACTGTTTTATCATAGTCCTAAGTTTTGTCCTAACTTTACGATTGTTGTGATTGTTGTGACGAAGGCCCTCGGATGGAACCATGCAGTTGTTGCAAATACAACCTATACACCTAAGACATGTATCCTAAAATGATGCCCACATCGACATATGTCACACACTGAAGACCAGATTTACATCACTGTACTATAGAAATCCACCTGTCTATATATCTATGTGTCTTTCCGTAATGGGTCATGCACATGCTGACCGCTCACGCACGTGTATGCATGCACGTGTATGCATGCACGTGTACGCACGCACGCTCACACGCACACAGATGCACGGTGATAAATTACAGTCATGTACTTACTAAAACTATCTTAGTCTCTAAGCCTGTAATGTCCTATAATATATTATCGTGGTGTAGTTAATCACTTCATTACCAACCATGCCAACTACAGCCAATTAAAGCTGATAAAAGTTGGCAGGTAGTTGAGCAAATAATTGCATGACTTTTTGAATGAATACTTGACACTTCAAATCTCGGCTAAGTGTAAGCTTACTTAATCGACCTGATTTATAGACGGTAACTGACAGATTACAGTGATTGTCATTTGTGAGTGCAGTTTCATGCCTTCGCAAATAACTGCTAGGAAACATTAAAGAGTAAGGCGCATTAGTATGATCTATTTGTTCAGGTATTTACAAAGTAAATAAAGACATGCTTAGCTGTCTCCATGGTGACAACGCGAGAGGGTGTCGGTTATAAAAACGAGAATCAAACATCGTGTGCTTTTTTATTGCTTCTATTGCTACAAAATTTAAACGATTATATCAGGAGTACATATAAAAACAAATGTTATTATTTCACTTCGCTTAGGTTTGTTCTTATTCACTCCTGATTAATATTAATTGGCAATTTGACTATATTAGGTATCCGTTTTGAAATCAGTAAAATATTTTATTGACAGTGTATATGTAGTGACTCTATGCTTTTAATAGGCTGATAAGCCTTGTGCCTATATAATGTAGTCGGGCTGCATAGCCTGGCTACTGCGTAACCTAGCTGCAAAAAACATATATTGCATTGTGTAGGCCTACTGGTCTCACAGCCATGGCGAATCATGGGGATCTGAGATATTGTTTCATGTGGAAGAGCAGTGGTCGGTGATATATATGTTGCCATGTGCACACACACACACGCACATACACAGGCGTATATATATATATATGTCTATATACAACACGCCTGCATGCACGCAACACACTTCTATATGTATATATTGCATAATATAGTAAGTAGTAGTATAAATCTGAACAAGACTGTCGCGTATCAAGTGTCTGTATGGATTGATCATATGGTTTGACAGACATAATTGTAGAAATATTGTTGAGGTCGAAAATTAATGAGTGTAAACGATTCATTAAATTTTGCAGTTATTATTAATTGATCACTCCCCAACACTGATTTCAGATCAGGTCATTAATCAAAATGGCAGCAGCGCCTTTCTTGTCTGTCTGTCTGTCTGTCTGTCTGTCTGTCTCGCTTTCTCTCAGGCTCTCAGACATTCTCTCTTGCTCTCTCTTGTTCTTTTGCAATATACGCACACACCCGTACATACATACATAACATCAGGAGTTAATGAGACAAAGAGTTCGTCTCATTAACTCCTGATAACATACGCATTCCGCACGCGCATGCACACATACACGCGTGCAGACACAGGCGCATACACATGCGCGCGCGAGCGCGCTCACCACGCTCGCACGCGCACACACAGAGGAACACACGCACGCACGCACGCACGCACGCACGCACGCACACACGCACACACACATACGTATATTGTCCCTCCTTCCCTTCCTCCGTCTCTCCCTCCCTCCCTCCCTCCCTCCCTCCCTTCCTCCCTCGTGTGGTCATTAGTGCTGACCCTCTATAGTAAACAAGCTTTTCTCTTGACGATTGCCTTGCTGCGTGCCTTGTGTACATACCGAGACCCCATAGTAAAGTGCTATTTACATATATTTCGACCTTATATATATCCAGTGTAGTAACAGTCAGAGGAATAACTAAAAAGATCTAGTTCAGTGTCAACATGTATCGTACTATTGCAGCAGTGGTCATAATAAGGCAAACACTGAAACAGGCTTTATATACATACGTATTTACTCGCAATAAGTGATTTATATAGAACATGGTTCATATGTTGTCTGTCCTGGCCCTTTTCCGTTCTCTCTCTCTCTCTCTCTCTCTCTCTCTCTCTCTCTCTCTCTCTCTTTCTCTTTCTCTTTCTCTATCTATCTATCTATCTATCTGTCTGTGTTTGATCTGTTTTTGTCTCGTCTCTCTCTCTTTCTCTTCCTCCCCCTCTCTCTTCTCTCTCTATCTCTCTCTCTCTGTCTCTCTCTGTCTGTCTCTGTCTCTGTCTTTGTCTCGTCTCTCCCTTCCTCCCCCTCTCTCTGCTCTCTTCTCTCTATCTGTCTCTGTCTCTCTCTCGTCTCTCTCTCTCTCTCTCTTCCTCCCCTCTCTCTCTTCTCTATCTATCTATCTATCTATCTATCTATCTATCTATCTATCTATCTATCTATCTATCTATCTATATAGCTATCTATGTATGTATGTATGTATCTATCTTTTATCTGTCTTTGTCTCGTCTCTCTCTCTCTCTTCCTCCCCCTCTCTCTTCTCTCTTCTCTCTATCTCTCTCTCTCTCTTTCTCTCTCTCTCTCTCTCTCTCTCTCTCTCTCTCTGTCTGTCTCTGTCTGTCTTTGTCTTTGTCTCGTCTCTCTCTCGCTCTCTTTCTCTAATCACTCGCCTTTCTTTCGCTCGCTCTCTTTCTTGTCCTATCTCTATTTTATCCTCTTGCTCCATTTGTAGAAGCCATAAGGATCAACTAACCCGCACTCATACATACCAGTAAACAAACATAACGTTACAAAATTCTTTGACTATTGTTGGGGAAGAATTGCGTAAAATAAAGACACAGTGGGGCGCTGGTTTGCGAACTCAGCGTATGAAAGCTTATATTGTTGTGCGGGAAATATTATTATATCGTGCAGGCATGCACACTACGTCGCGTGTAAGTTTCTTGCACAGCAATCCATGGAGGCATCGGATGCGCGGGTGTGAAATATTCAATGTGATGTGACAGGAACGTATTTGCTCCCCTGTGATTCAATTTTTTTAAATCGCATGTGTACCCCTGTCGTACATAACAACTTGAACGTGTCAATAATTTTGGTCCGGCGAAGTAATAATTAATAACAATTTAATTTATACCACTTCCATTTTTAATATTCAAACAGCTGCGCTCGCCCGTTTATATCCGTTCGTGTGATAAGGCCCAATTACTACTCTCTTATGTCGCTGATATAAACACAGTTCAAACGTCAAGTGCTAGGAAACTATAAATCTACCTCTCTACGTCTCTAGACATTTATGGTTTAAACTTATACGGGGGTGGATCGTGGCTTGGGTGGAGTAGACGCCTGACTACTCCTTGAGATAACAGCCTCTTTAAAAATGACTACTTTACCAAAACCACCATGTTTAGCCCTATTTTTGTGTAGCACAGTTCGTGCCATGGCTAGAAGTACAGATTTATTTTTTTGAGCTAATCTTGCCGTCATTGTTCACACAGATGCGCTAGTTTTAGAGCTTCTAAAGTTATCGCTCTTACAGATGTGCTTGTGTAGGAGTTGCGCCTGCAATTATGGCTTACACTGATGTGCTTTTGTTTGAGCCTCTCTTGCAAGCATGGTTCACAAAGATGTGCCTTTGTTTGAGCCTCTCTTGCAAGCATGGTTCAGGAAGATGTGCTTTTGTTTGAGCCTCATACAAGCAAAGTTCACAGAGATGTGCCTTTGTGTGATCCTCTCCTGCAAGCATAGTTCACAAAGATGTGCTTGTGTTTGAGCTCCTCTTACACGCAAGCGTCTTCGAGGCTGCAGAAGTGACAAAGTTAGACGAGTTGCTGCTGCTGCTAAGGTTACGCGGCAGTCCGCCCTGCGACCAGCACCAGTGGCAGCTGATGATCGAGATAGCGACGCGCCGAAACTGTTTGTTGAAGTGAGCGTAGACGACGACGTAGATCCAGCTGCTGCAGAAGCTAAGAATGGTCGCAAAGTGGCGCAGTATCGCCAACGTGTCGTCGTAGTAGTTGGCGCCACCTAGCGTCGACAGTTTGATGACGTGCGTCGGCAGCCAGCAGCAGGCGAAAACGACGAGAATCGAGACGGCCATCTTGATGCTGCGTCGCTTCCACGACCACATGTGCTCGGCGGCGTGCGGGGCGGCCGCTCCCTGCATCTCGCGCCGCCACAGCCGGTGTATGATGCGGCCGTACAGCGCCGACGTAAGCAGCAGCGGCACGACGTAGCCGAAGATGAAGTCGACGAGGTACTTTGCTCGCAGCGCGCGCCGGCTGTAGTAGCAGTACTCGTGCGTGCTGTTCGGCTGCAGGTACTCCTGCCGCCGGCTGTTGAGGAAAGCGAGCGTCGGGTAGAGCGCGTACAGGCCGGCGACGAGCCACAGCGCTGCGATGACGACGAAACAGCGTGCGGCGCCGCGGGGAGCCCGCTGCGGATG